ACAACAGTTGCTTTGGAAACCAGACCTTGAGCCGCGTATGTGTTCACCATAATATTGAACGATTTTTTAAGAAACCCTCTTTCTTATATTGCTTAGCTACTTCAGCCGCTTACAGTAAAAAAAATTCGAAATTCTCAACGAATCTTATTCGATTGGGAGCCATTTTATTCAACGTTTTTGAACACTATTGAATAATTATTTTATTTCATTTTATGATAGATAATAGAATCTATCAATTTTATAAAAATTATTAGTCTGACTTCGTTCTTTGTATAGATTTTAACTAGTAAGATAAAACTAGGGGGTAAGTTTTATACGAAACAAAATACATTTTAAAAAGTAGCTAAAAGTAAAATATTTGTTATAAAATTGTGTTGCTGAACTGAAAAAGATTAAACATTTTCACAAATATTTCTAATTTCCAACATAATTTATTTCTTAGAATTTATCGTTTGTCACAATTTCAAAGTACATTTTTCAGCAGGCCAAGCTAAATTACGAGCATCGGACAACATTTTTATTAGTATGCACCTTGTCCAGTTTATTTAGCAGAGCAAAGATCTCGCAATTTGAGTTTTTTTTTTAAGCTATAAAATTTTGTTTGCACACATATATTTACATATATACACACATATGTATTGTTCTAGTTAGTACGAAAACAAAGCACTCGATTGTAATTATGTGAGCTCAGCGCCATCAAATGTATGCGAATTTTTAATTTTTCACTTCAACAGCCGCTAAGAAAACAATGACAGCCTGTCAAAGACTAGCAAATAAAGTAATGGACTTGGGTAAATTAACATTTAGTTTTTAAATGCACATAAAAAACGTATAATCGCTTGCTCGAACTGGCGCTAAAGAGACAAGCTTGAGGCGGTAAGAATACAAAGATCTACTATTTACATACATACATATGTATGTATGTACATAGAGATTGGCTTCTTTTTTGCCCATTTAATTATGAATCAGGCAAAATATGGGTGAATGTTTGCTTTTTAATGCAACAACGACGAACAGCACTGTCGACATACATACATGTCAATATGTATGTTTGTGTATTTCAGTATGTGACCGGCTTATTATCTAAAAGGTGATTAGCTTAGTCTTGCATACTACGAGCGTTATTTAGTTTTTTGTTTTTTTTTTTTTTGCTCTCAGCAAAGACAAAAAATTCACAACATAAACAATAGCAGAACCACTTGAACATATACGTGCATACATATGTACATTAGGCTGGGTCGATTTTTTATGGGGGGAAATAAAGGGCATTTGACGATATTGTAACAGTAATATTATGTTGTCTTAGGTCTAAGCCAATTGTTATTGGACGCGAAAGATTAATTTGAAACTTATCTTTAGCCCGCGCAATTGATTCAAAGTGTATAAATGTTGAAAATGAAATTTTGGCTCGTAATATCTATGGAATGCGATAGTCAAATTAAAGTTTATTAAATTTAGTATCCAACGTTCATATATAATTTTTCAATAAGACTACAACTTTTTAAGATATTAAGATAAAACTTACAAAAACGATAACTTTCCCTAACTTGCTTTCAGCTTGAACGAAACAAATCACTTCCTGGCACACTTTTCTGTAATACGGTTCTTTTATTTAAAAGTTATTTATACAATTGAAGCGAAATTTTTGTAAAAGAAAACTAGTGATCCACCTAAGTTTTTCGACGTAACTTTGGTAAATATTACTGGATCGGTACGTAATAATTACCAAATTGAAGGCGAGCCTTACTATCACTGATATTTATGATAATAATATAATGAAAATCTATCAGATTATAAAAAAAAAAATACTTAAGAATAAAATAAATGTTAAAAAAAAATTCCGGTAAACTTCGTATATTTGCAACTTTTGCATTGTTTGCATAAACATAAGTAAACTAATTAGCGTTTATAGAAGTTGCGCATGTACAGTGTTTTCCATACTCATATCCATAAACAAAATTTGTCCACGGTGATGGGAAATAATGGCTTTTCTATTAGAGCAATCGAAATAGTTCCTAAATTTGTAAAAATTCGCGCACTAGAGCTAATATTAAAAAAAATATTAGAATATTTGAAACCAGTGACCTAAATGCAACCCAGCAATTTTAATGCTGTTCTTTACATCTTTTGACTATAGGCCAGTGTAATTATCAAGAGAACAATTAAAAGTTTATTGAAAAAAGATAAGTTTGAGATTAACGAAAAACTAAAGGGATGCGAGAATTGATAATTGACTTTATCTTTTGCATTAACTTTTTCATTATTTAATAATATGCACCAAACCTTTTTGCTGAACCCACAATTTTAAACAAGAATTGGTCTTCTTCGACTAGTGTGCTGTGTGTCACTTGGCAATCGATGCAGGCTTGTGGTTACCTTCATGACACAATATATTTTCACTATTATCAAGGGATTTAAGAAAAATTAGATTTTCGACCCGCCCTAATGTACACATATATGTGTGTGGACGTAATATTTATGTAGATGGGAAAGGAAACTCTCAGCAAATATAAATACATATGTATGTATCGTATGCGTTAAGTAGCGTGCACATTGTTATTCAAGTTAATTCATAACTGATTGAATAATAATATGAAAAACCGCATACAAATGATAAACCACACAAAAATAGTAAATAATAATCATATTCGCGAGCAACAGCAAAAATGCATAAATATTTTTTGTTCAAATATTACCGGTACTACATAGATAGTTTGTAAAGGCAATTGAAATAAATCTACCTTTAATTTAGTACGGTCTCTATTTCATTGGCTTGAAGCTGTTTCAATGAAAATTTTAGTAATGCACAAATTTTTATAGATATGCGATTGATATCAGTTTTCTCTGGGAGTACTCTATTCTCTTGAGAAAGGCTTTATTCTTCATAGCTGCCCCCTGGTCCCATGGGACCCAACTGCAGCCTAGCATCTTTTTTGCATTCATAGAGCACTTAAGTATAAACCTGCAAGCTAAGCGTGGACAAACACTTTCCATTTACTATGACGGTCCTTCTTTTATTTCCTTGAGTATCCCAGCGACCAGTGTAGTGGTCCCAGTATTACCCCGTTTATATATTTTGACAGAAGCACCCGTAAACACAAACACATAGATAGCCTGTATGTATTTCTAATCGAATCGACCTATGTATGTATGTATGTATTGGCATAAGATCACTTACTGCAATTTGTTCGCCGTGCATTTTATTACTTTACATCAGTGACGGGCACACGAACACTTACACATATCTGTACATATCTATTGGCTTGATAATCAGGCGCAGACAAGCCAGCAAGTCAATCGTGTATTTGCTGGCTATGTTCGTTCACTTGCTGGCCATCGAATTGCAATTGACCAAATGCGGAAAAAAATTTGAAAATGCTTCTCATTCAATGAATGCATTTAAATGTTCGAAAGAAAGGAATTTCAAGTACATATATTTCTACATTTATCACATCACATGTTTGGAAACACATACATACATAAATATTCAATTAGAGTAGTCAGAAAAATAATTTCCATTTTGAGCAGATCAAGTCTTTTGAATGCAAATATACAAATAAAAACTGCTTAGAATTTGTATGAAAGAAAATAGCTTGGAGCTCCTTTAAAGATGTAGAGAGGAAAGTTCTATTTTTTGAACTGAAATATATGTATGTATCGCACCGAAAATATAACTGCATGTGGATGGTACAGATTCAACGCAATCAATACAAAAACAGTAGTTTTCCAGTTAGCGAATATAATTATGAAAAAAAAATATATTTGCATTAATTGGCTATAAATCCTACAAATTGATTTATGCATAAAAATAGACCAACATTTTTTTTTTGAGTTGTGCCCCTGTTGAAAATGGTACATAGGGCACGTATGTACGTATACTTATTTTTAAACAACATACTCATAGATAGATGTACATGAAAACATGTTCAGAAATGTTAGAATAAGAAAATTCCCTTTCACTTATATACTATATGGATATTATTACCTCACTATGTATATGTATATGTACATATGTATATGTATGAGGGCAGGTCAATTTGAATGGGAGACTTTTCTGAATATCCGGGTATGGCATAGGAGTATTCCACGTGAAAATGGTAAGCAAATTGGCGCAAGAAACCATGGGAGTAAATTTTATTCAAATGGTAAAAAAAAATTGTATTTCTTATATTTTGTATTGAATTTTTGTTGTATAGAAAAAAACATTTGTAGGCAAAGCAAAATATATCTTTTTATTTTTCACTATTGCGTCCTCCGGCGGATGTTTTAAGAAAAAGATAAGTCCAGAAAAGGATGCCTCATACAAAAAATCATTAAAGCATATTTTTATCTGAAAAAATTAAATTATTTACAACACGACAGCAAAAAAAAACGCTACTAAGAAAAAAAAATTCTTCTGGTATTTTAGCTCGAAACTAATTTCATACCCATTGTTTTCTCCGGCAAATTTGCTTAGAATTTCATCTAGAATACTCGCATAGCCAAAAAAAAATCGAACCGGCCTAATATATATGTATACTTATACGCAACAATAATTATACAACTGAATAATAAAATCTTTTATTCAGTTCTGCTCAGGAGTTACATATATCACTATTGACGGTATTCATTTAAAACCTTTTTGCGCTCCGGTATGAAGAAAGTACCAATATCACATGTTTAATTAGCAACTTTCAAAAGCGATCAATGAACAGAACAAACATTCAAAATCAAGGCACTCACTAATGGCGCTCAATGTGAAGAAAAGAAGTAGAAAGAGAGAGGCTTACTCGTAAGTCAGTCATAGTGATTCATAATTTTTTTTAATTTTTTTTTTTTTTTTTTTTTGGGGACTCGACACCTTGTGGGAACAAGAAAATACGTCATGCAATGAAAACTTCGTGTAATGAAAAATATGTATT